AAGAATAAATTACATGTATTTGGCACAGTTAGGTGCCAGACACTGTAATGCCTCTGTGATTGGCAGCTCCATGACCAGGGATGCGACCGTATTCCATATTAATACGCCAGCTAATACGCCCGTATTAATACGCCGAATACGCCAGCCAGTTGGGCTGTTTATGCGTTGGCGTATTGTTGGCGTATTGTTGGCGTATTGTTTGTCGTTGGGTTGTCGTACAGTCTGAAAACTCGCCGATTTTGAGAAATATCGAGCTATTGACATTCCCGAGTCATTGGTGTAATTAATTGATACTTAGGATTAGGTTTTAGGGTTTGCTTATCACTGGGTTTGCAACATACCTTGTGGTAATAACAACCCGCGAAATGGAAAACGTGCGCGAAGCAAAACGCGCTAAACCGGGACCTAAGCCTAGTGCTGTGTTGGATTATTTCGAAGAAGTCGGTGACTATAGCTCTAGCTCCAAGCGCTATGCTCGCAAGTGCAAGTTCATCAATGTTGAGGCATTGCTGCGGACCACTTTCCCCTGGTTCGACTGGACCAAGCAGCCGCTGGAGCTCAACCCTGGCCAGAAGGCGATGTCGTTCGCCGTGGGGGAGTGAGGAGGCTTTAGGGGGGTGTGGTCTGTCGTCTGTGGTGTTGGCCTGACACCCAAGCTATCTCTATTTGGGCTGTAGTATTTGTGATAATCACGGTTTGTTAGGAATGCTAGAATGCAGACGCGAATGTGTGCGCACATGGCTCGATGGCTGTCCAGGTCTGGCTGTTGCCCAAATTCATATTTTATCTTGTGAGAGATCGTTTTCCAAACACTAAAGCAATACGCCTTTCATTGTAAAAGCGAAAAACATGAATTCCATGACGGAATAGCGCAAAGGAATACGCCACGAGTATTGTAATACGGCATGGCGTGAACCCCGGCGTATTGATACGCCATACGCCTGGCGTATTAATTTGAGGTACCATTATTACGCCAGACGGCCAAAACGAATACGGTCGCATCCCTGTCCATGACAGGTACAACTTGCACTGCTGGATCCAGGATTCACACATGCAACACCAAGGGCATCTTTTACTATCATTGTTCATTCTGAAATGTATGCGATTCCGTGTGTGTAAGGGATTTGTGTTCATTACCGACTAGGTTGTCTCTCGGCCAGCATC